TGGATATTAGGACTGTTTGGATGAGCCCCATGCATCTAAATATCTCAGTTGACCTTACACTCAGTTCTAGAATTAGGCAATATTTCATCCTAATAAACTAGGATAAACATTTTGATTTTCTGAGCATAATCCTTGTTTTATGGGAAAAGAAGGGATGGAAAAATGAAGCAAGGAACAAAAGAAGACTGGTCCCTTTAAAGTTACCCTATCCTTGCAAGGCGTGGGCAGTAAACAGAACAGTGGAGAAAATCACTGATTGGTTAGCATCAGCAAAGTGTATGTGTGTTAAGATTAAGGCAGAGGAGCTGGGCAATGGTGGCACCTGCCTTTAATCTCAGCACTCGGGAGGCAGAGGCAGAGGCAGGTGGATCTCTGTGAGTTCAAGGCCAGCCTGGTCTACAGAGCAAGATCCAGGACAGTCAGGGCTACACAGAGAAACCCTGTCTCGACCTCTCCCACCTCCCCAAACAAAACAAAACAGAAAAAAAGATTAAGGCAGAGGAAATTTCTTATCCTGGGAAATTTGTTATCTCTGTAATTGTTTAGTTCTACAAAAGGTCAAATAAGCAGCTTAGTTTCTGCTTGGCAACAAATGACTCTATCTTGATTTTTAGTCTGCTTTGTTGTGGTACAAAGCAGTGTGTGTGTGTGTGTGTGTGTGTGTGTGTGTGTGTGTGTGTGTATGAATGTTTGTGGGTATACATGTGTGTATGAATGTTTGCATGTTTGTGGGCATATATGTGTTCATGTGTGTGGTGTGTCTTTGTGTATACTTATACAGTGTGTGAAGGCTGTATATGGAAGATCAAAGTTGACAATGGTGTTTTTCCTGATCACACTTTATTTGTTGAGACAGTGTTCTTTGCTGAACCCAGAGCTCCTGGATTCCAGGCTAATCTAGCTAGCCAGTTTGTGTGGTGGAGGTAGGGGAATGCCCTTTCTCTGCCTAAGGTGAGCTGGGATTGCAGGCAGCTGCCACACCTGCTGGGCTTTTCCTTTTGTTCTGGGGCTTTGCACATGTGTCCTCACCCTTGTGTGGCAAGTCCTTTATCCACTAACCCATCTCCCCAGCCTCTTACCTACTCTAATTTTTATTTAACAGTGTTCTTTTGCCAGCTCCTGGCTCTACACTCTAAAATGTGGGTATCACTCAGGGTTCCGTGGGTTTTTGTCTCCTTTCTCAACCTCCTTGGATTCAGAAGTTATGTTTATTTTGAGATAGGATCTTGATTTGTTGCCCAGGCTGACCTTCAACATGTAGCCAGGACAGTTGCATGACCCTCCCCAACCAACATGGTTTCAGATATAAAGGATTGGCATGACAGTCTGCAGCCCTGATGTTATGAATATTAGATGCTTCTCCTTTCTGTCTTATAGGCTCCTCACACTTAAAATGACTGGAGCTGATTTATTCTTCTGCAAGCTTTGTTTTATTGATAACCTAGCCCGGTATCCAAACAACAAACAGAAGAGTTTCCTTAAATCCCTCCCACCCCCTAGGCCTGCATAACAAGGAGTTAGCAGTGGCCAAGTCTTGGATCTACCTTCAGTATTTTTCATTTTTATTACTTCTTACCTAGTTCTAGTTTCAAGCAGCAATAACAGTAATGAGATACCTGTCTTCGAAATGTAGCAATGTAACAATTGGGGGTATAGAGAATAGTACAGTTAAAAAAATAACTTTAATAGATCAAGCAGGGAACGAGACCCTAGAATTTTATAATTGGGTTTTACACTGTAGCCATAGCATAGTCGTTGGAATAGCCACCATGGGTTTAATTTACTTACTTATTTTTAGAGTCGGCTGAGTATTCAGGCTCACAGTACAGCCACTAGCCACACTTGACATTGGGCTCACAAGTAATTATAGGAGAACAGCTAAAGCCACTAACAGGTGCCACTTCTGCTTTGTCCCATGGGAACAGGGCTTGTAGCTAGCTATGCCCTCAGCAGGTCACAAAGTTGTCTATGAGTTTTTCATCTTCTTAGAAGATGGCTCAAATATAAGGATAAAGATTCTTGTTAGCAGGACCCAGATGTCTTCTGAGACAGAAGGATGGCCACAACTTTGAGGCTAACTTGGGCTACAATGTAAAACCCAATTATAAAGCAAACAAAAACAATAGCAGCAAAAAGAAAATGAAAAAAAAAGAGTAATGTAAATTAGACAGAAAACTATGTCTTTTAGCAACTAAAATTTTATGTTAAAGTGTATGGTGTGTAGGTCATAAAGAAAAATACAGCAAATGATTGAAATAACCTGAGAATTGCGTTTTACAAAATCATGATGCTCTTTTTGTGCCCTTGTGGTTAGATAGCTATTAAATGTTTTCATCAGAATAAAAATCTTACATGTTGTTCTCTCTTATCATTTCAGTTTGGTTTTATGAGATCCATTACTTCTTTTGTAGATAAGACAACAAAAACATAAAGGTTAATTACAGTGTGAGTATATTAGCTGCAGTATTTGGGATTGAATACTATAGAGTATGTCATAATGATATACTATTATATACAGGTGAAGAGGTGAAAGGAGGAAATTATTAATTTATTTAACCTGAAACATCATCAACAACAATTAATTTCACTCATGATAAACATGAATACATTTAGTATTAGGTGATACAAACATCAAGGCTTGGAGACAGTACTTGGTCTTTTTACAACTTGACCTTGAAAAATGTGGCTTGGAATTATGCTTACATATTTTCATTTTCACTCCATGTTCTAGGTAGTAGGTATTTTCATAATATTTCAAATGTTATCATCTACAAATAAAACTTGTTTTTCTAAAATTTTAGTGGGATCTTTGGGTCTATTGTAAAGTGTGCAGTGAGCCACCTTTCCATGTAGACTTGAAAGCAAAGATGGGTGTTTATTCAAGTTTTGTCTCTTTGTGTTGATTTAGCCCTAGCTAAAGAAAAATCCATTACACAGGTAAGCCCATATCTATGAGTGCTTCTAAGATGATTTCAACAGATGCTAAAAGGGTGCCATTTGTAGCTAAAAGTTTTCCTATGTCCTGCCTGGTCCCACAGCTGCTCAGACCCAAGTAAACACACAGAGACTTATATTAATTAAAACTGCTTGGCCATTAGCTCAGGCTTATTACTGACTAGCTCGTACACTTAAATTAACCCATAATTTTTATCTATGTTTAGCCATGTGGCTTGGTACCTTTTCTCAGTTCTGCCTTGACATTTTGCTTCCTCTGTGTCTGGCTGGTGACTCTTGACTCAGCCCTTTCTCTTTCCAGAATTCTCATCATCTGCTTGCCCCACCTATACTTCCTGTCTGGCTACTGACCAATCAGTGTTTTATTTATCAACCAATCAGAGCAACACATATTCACATCATACAGAACGACATCCCACAACAGTTTAGGATTCTTGTTCAGAGAGAACCCTAGCATGTTTTCCACTCTGATAGCTTCCCAGCTTCTCTTCTGGAATTTGTGAATGGAAAGGTTTACTATTGGCAGCAACGTAATTCCCAAAGCAGTGTCTTCCCATGAATAAGACACATGGGGTCTTGCTAGGAAAACATGAATATTCATATTAGAAAACCGCATAGCATACAAAGGTACACTCATTCCTGAGTGTGTTCAATTTGAGATCAAACATTCCAAGCTCACAAATGGAGTCACTTTCTGGGCAGTCCTGGTAGTTAAGACTAACTTGACTAAATCACGTCTTTTAGGAAGTGTTTAGAGGAAACAGCCCCTTTTCTCTGTCTCAGTGTGTTAATATATGCAAGTCAGCATCACTGTTCTAAGTAGGTGGATCTTTACTTACTGACTTATTTACCAATTTGGGAGGCCTATGGAGACTCTTTCTCCCCACACTGTTATTCCAAAAGCCTTTCCAAGTGTCTGGCTGT